TTTTTTTTTTTTTTTTTTTTTCCTCATGATGCTGCTCTGCACTGGAAACTATACGCTGAGATTTTGCAGCTGTTTTCTGTGTTCTTTCCTAGACTTCCAGGCAACCACATATAGCTCCAGGGGATCTGCAGCACTCACTCCATTTCCCACCACTTCCCATCTGTGCTGCAGTGGGGGCTGTAAATACTTCAACATCTGAAAAGAAGTGCCTGGCACCTCAACTCAGTCTACAGCCTGCCAGCAGGGTGAGGCCATATTTCATTCTGAAAATAATGTAATTTTAAGGACAGCTTTATAATACTGCTTTAGTACTGTAGTTCCCAGACCTGTATAGTGCAGGCAACATGCCTTCCAAATGGTGATCAGCTTTTATTTAAACTCTCCTTTTTAACCTCCCCTTAATTTTCAAGACATTGACTTACTGGTCTAATGCCCAGTTCTTGATCACAGTGAGGAAAAATGTGGTGACTTATCTTTTATAGTATAAAATCTCTGCATGCATAATTTTCTCCCTCCACATAGACTATCTGTTATGTAGAGAGGGAGGCAGCCACCTGGTTAACACCAAGAACTCAGGAATATTTTCACAAAGCCTTACAAGTTTCACCTTCATCTACAGCTGCAAAGTAACAAAAAACCTCCTTTTTTTTTTTTTTTGTTACCATTCCTCCTGCTAAGTCACACTAGCAGGTTCAGAGAATGAGAGCTTTTTTGAGTAGCCAGACATGATCTTGATACATACACAGTTACTTTCAGGTGAGATTTGGACTTTTTTTCTAGGAAAACATGGTGTAATTGGTTTTGTGTTAGGAGTTCTGTGGGGCTGGAGGATTTCGGAATGGGGCTGTGACTGCTGCTTGGCAGACACTGGCCGAATAGCTCCCTCCTGCATTTGCTCTTATTGTGATGGGCACCATCCTTTCTACAAGAATTTACTGGCACTTTCTGCTTCATGCTCCCTGCTGACAAAACAGCCGGATCAGTCACAGGTTATGCAGACACGATGCAGAGCTCAGACCCAGAGCACATGATGTTTGCGGAATTTATTCTCTAGAGGTGCCTTTTGCTATTCAGGGCCCTGGGCCTCTGTTTGCATTTCATCCTGAAGGAGGACTAGACCTCCACTACAAATGGGAGAGAAGCGTTTTGAACCACATCTTGTGTAATTGATGCCAAATGCCGTTACTATTGGGAGACCTTGGCTGCTTTGGAACTTGTTTGCCAGCGCAGGGAGAGCAGCAGTGCCGTGGGGTTCTGTCCGCTGGGGATCAGAACTCTGCACTACAAGTATTACCCGGCTCACAGTGCTGTATATAGCTATGTGGGTGACGCTCCCAAGCAGTCTGCCTGTTGCTTTGCAAATTAAAAGAAAGTGTTTTAGCACAGACATCTTTTCATGAACAAAATTGCAAGCACTCAGTTATGGAACTGTTCTAGAAGTATGTGTCTTACTAGGTGTAAAGAGCCATCAAACCATGGTTGTTTCAATATGCTCGGTTGCTGTTTTGCATAACCTATTTAACCTGGTTATATGTTTTCACAGGAGGAAAGGAGCGAAGTAAAACATCCAAATGTGGCAAAATACATGACCAGTATATCTCCATCATTAACACTGGTCTGATACCGGCACCTCCTCCACCCCAGCAAAAACGTGGAAACACAGTGAGAAGTGAGGTAACCAGAGGGAGAAAATTGTGTCCCATCAGTGTGCCCACTGAGGCAGAGCACCCTCCGAGGAAGGTAAGTTAGCTCTGTCTACATCTCTGTTTATGTACAGGTGTATAATCTTCCTTGTTGGTGTATTTGCCTAATGCTGAAAGATATGTCTACCTAGTTTGCATAAAGATTCACTGAATTTTTGAAAGAAATAGAATTCCTAACTATTCAAATATGTAACTGCCACCCATCTCTCTATATACTAAAACATTTGGGTTTTTTTTTCATCAGCTGGGGGAAAAAAAATGCTTGAACAGAAAAAACATGGGATCTCTTACTTAACACCTTCTGGTGTAGTCAGTCTGATCCTGTCTCTGACCATGTTTGAAATGCCTTGAGTGTGTGAAACTTCATCTGTTACACTAGACCTCCAGCCAGTTTTAACTCCTGTGACGGAAATGGTAGGAACTCTGGATTGGGAGGCACGATATGGGTCATGGTCCCTGCAATTTTGGGCAATTCGGTGCAGTGGATTTTCAGTTTGATTCTTTTCCTCCCTTTCTGCATATTACAAATCACTTCCCAATTTAAGCAGCTCAAGGCCTGTCTTAAAAGACTGGAAGCCTCAAGTGTACGGTGCACATACATGCTCTTTGTGTTCACCTTTTGTTGGAGTTGGAAGCTGAATGCATTTTTTGTGTTTTTCCTGCTACAGAATTCAGGTCCCTGGTACGCAGCGGCGCGTGTGTCACCATGGCCTCGGTGGGGAAAAATCTCAGTTTACCTGGCAAGTCTGCTGGGGACAGGCAGCACTGTGGAGGGGAGAACCTGTGTATATACAAAGGCAGAGTATTGGAAGGAGGTAAGGATGCAGAGTCAAAGAATTCATATGGATCCTGGCAACGTCTTTTTTTCTTTTGGCTAAAATCTTGGTGTGGTATCAATGACTTCAGCTGAGCTCAGTCAAGATATATGGATCCAGGGATTTTTATACCATCTTTTATACCATCTGCCTCCAGACTAAATCTGGATCTACTCTTTCATGATTGTAAGTGAGGTTAGAATGACTTCTGCAAATTATGGTAGAAGGAACTTAGAGAACTAATTGAACAAAATACTGTAGCTTAGGTTAATTTCGTATAGAGATGTGTGGTTAATAAAGTAGTAGTAGTAGTAGTAGCAAACTGTCCTTAAATGGGGGTTGTCACTTTCTGACTTGCTACAACACATCAGTGCATGTTGCTTATTACTCCAGAAGGAAAAGTACGTAATGGGAACCCAATTCCCATCTCTTTGACGTGAGTGCAATCCCATAGCACCAGTAAAAGGTGAATTGTGTTCTGGGATCCTGGGAAGAGGCGATGGCTGTGAGATTGTCACTTGTGAGGAAGAGTGATTCCACCGATGACACCCCTCATTCCAGACCCCCTGTGCTGGCGTTTCAGTGGGAAGATGGTGCAGAGCTCCCTGCGCTCCCGCCCGTCCCCAAGGCTGTGGGAGCACCGCGGCGTGCCCGCGGATCAGGTCATGGGCTGCTGTGCTGGCTCCCCGCTGTGTCCTCTGTGCCTGCCCCTCTTGTCCCCAGCCCTGCTCACAGGCCTGAGGGAGTGACCGGTGTAAAGGGGGTACAACCCCTTCCCCGGCATGGAGGGGTGTGGCCGCCTCGGTGCCCTCCCGCCTGGATGCCAAGCGGTACCCTTGCAGAGCAGCCTGGAACGGCTCCAGAAGCAGCATCTTTGCGGTGCCCGGTGTTCCCTGAGCCCAGCCGCGTCCGTGCGGGCCCAGAGCCGCTGGGGCTGAGCTGTGCTCATCTGGAGCCTCAGCTGCCCCTGCCAGGTGTGTCCCACTGCGGGGGCTCTGACATGCTGCTGCCCTGCACCGGCTGGGCACGTGCTAGGAATCCTAAACCTCCTGTGCACGATGCCCACTCTTGTAAGGCAAGGGCGGAGTCAATTTTGTGGAAATGGGAGGCTCTGCTCCCTGTTCTGCTGTGGCTGTGAGTGCCCAAACGGAGTGGCTTGTCACAGGGGTGTCCAGCTTGGCACTCTGGGGTTGGAGAGAGATGGGGCTGCTGTGTAGGGAGGAGGTGTGCGGCGGGCGGAGGAAGCAAGCAGCCGATTCAATGTGAATGATAGAGCAAGCTTCAACTTTATTGAAGGAAATCACACCTTATGTAAGCATTCTACAATACACTACTTGTAACTCTTGGATACATTTAAGAAACTACATTATAATATCTCAGCCATTGGGTACATCCAAAAGGTCACATTATAATATCCCAGCCCCCTGTGGCATTTCTGGTATGCATAAACATCTTTCTTGCTGTGAACCTGCTTCCCTCCCAGGGCTGTTTTGCCCTCACCCCCAAGGTCATAATGTGCCCCAACTTATCTCCTTGTTCTCACAACGGTCGCTGTTATCATCAATGTACGCTGGGTTTTTTCCTCTGTTTACCTCAGGTGGCTGCGACCGACTTCTGCGGGGAGCTATGGCCGACCAGCTCCTGCAGGGAGCTATGGCCTTGCTCTCTGCAAGCCGTTCTCCAACAGAGGTGGGATATTACCCCACAGAAAAAACCCAAATCTCCTTATTCCCCTAATTCTCCTTGTCTGGGTAACTGTTTATCTGCCTAATTGGTTCTGCATCAGATACTCTTTATTTCTGTCCCTGGCATCTGTCACTTCAGTATTTTAAAAGCACCGATCGAAAGAAAAAGTGGTGGGCAATAAAATCTGAAAGGTGAGAAGTGATGGCCATGAGGGATAGCTGGTGTGGCAGCGGTGGCAGCTCTCCTGCACCGTTTGGGTTTGTTGCCTCTCTGCTGCATGCGCAGTGAGCTGATGGTGGCAGTGGAATTACGGAATTTCACAGGGAAATCACCGTGCGCTGGTGTCCGGGCTTCCAACCGCTGCAGCTTGGCTGGGCAGGGGAGGATTCTTTAATGCATACGCGTGGGGCCAGTCTTTACTACAGATGTGAGCAGAGCTGTCTGTGAGCTACTACAGCTTGTCAGGCTCGTGGCCTGGGACGGAATCCAGACCATGTTGGTGTGAAAATGGTAAATCTGTTGTAAGCCTCATTTGTATGAGGATTTCACGTGGGAGCTGAAGGAGGTACCAGAGCAGTGCGATGGCAGAGTGTTCCTGCGCAGCACCCTTTGGCTGGATTGATTTAATTCATTGTTTGTAAGCCACTTCTTTGCTGATTAGCCATGTCAATCCACATTTATCTTACTTTGTGCTGCAGTAGATTATCTTTCTCCAGTTTTCTCTGTTGCTGGCATTTTTTCTTCATTGCAACAGTTTTTTCTCCTGTAATAAGAGACTGTGTGGCATTTTATTTCTGAGTTTGCCCAGTTCTCAGTTTTTCTAGTCCTTTCAGTGGCTAATGGTTTTGTTTGTTGCTTTTAATGTATTGATCATACTTGATGCATCATTCAGTAGCTTTAGTGCATTTTTGCTATACTATTTATGAAGAATACGATGCTTTTTTATGATAATGTGCTGTTATTCTTCCCATCTGTCGTCCTAGATTCTCTCATGGCATTAAAAAGACAGAGCAAATGCACAGGCAAAAGGAGATGAAGTTAACCTCTGCCTGCTTAAAAAGAACTTTATTAGTTGTGAATTGCGTCTCACAGTATGATTCTTGTATTTTAGAATATGATGATGATATTGAAGAGAGACAGATTGACGATCAAATGAGTGGAACATCAGAGTCACCCTCAGGTGATGAAAAACCTGACCTGGACACTGAAAAGGAGAGTGAAACCTTATCAGAGAAGGCATTGGAGGTCTCTGACGATGAGAAGGATGAAGATGATAAATACTCTGACAGTGACTTCTGGGACAATGAACAAGGTTAGATTTTTTTCATACTGAGGCTTAAAGAAGTTGACCTGATGAGTGTTTTACATTTTTTATGCATGTTTTACAATTTTCACGTGCCCGGTACATGTTAAGGGGAAAACACGTGAAAAACCATGCAATTCCTACAGAACTGGAAAAAGATAGCTATTTTACCTGTTACTAATTCAACCATCCATCACTGAAATGCAGCAAAACCCACAGGCAGTGTAAGGGTGTGCCAGCTCTCAGCAGACTTTGCTGAACTGCACAGGTGCAGAAATGGAGATGGAGCCAGTCGGCAAATTAGCTCTAAATACTTAGGCAGATCAGCACTTCATGTCAGCAGTCACTGACATCCGAGACCACTCACACCTTCTGAGGATAGGTGCTTTCACCCGAGAAGCCCCCGGCACACCCAGCATGCCTCCTGGTGTGTTAGCAGTGCTGTCTTTAATGGCCCCGAGCAGCCAGAACCTCGGCAGCGTCCCCTGCCGCACTGCTGGCCCGTGCTGGCCGAGGGAGGAGATGCCATCAGCTCGGCTCTCCCTGCTGCCTGCGTGGGATTATCTTCATCAATAATCCCATGGAAAACTCGCAGGCAATTTCTCACTTCTTAGATGAACAGCAGCATTCCAGTCACCACGTCGTGATTAAGTCAGAACTGAACTGCCTCTTCCTTGTGGCAGTGTTTTAGTTCTTCTTAACTTTTCTCCTCTATGGCTTTGTGAGATCCTGAGCTGACTTCTGTGCCTCTTGCTTGTCATAATGTAATAGGATTTCTTTCTCCATTTCCTGCTCTTTCAAAATCAGTTACTTTATATTCCTTACATTTGACAGTCCTAATGTGCAAACCATTTCTCGAGTTAAATGGAAACATTACTTTCAAATTTGTATTTCTAGGTGAATTAAGCAATGGCAATATTAACAATACAGCTCTTTGTGAAAAGGTTGCAGCTGCAAGAAAGATCCAGTCTTTTTATAGAAAGTATGAAGTCCACCAGAAATTCCAATTAGGTTTGAAACTTCCTTGCTTATAAAATCATTGCAGTGATCAAAAAGAATCTTAATTTTTGTTCTCTCGTGATAATCAGAAATAGCTTGTGATTCCGGAATAATCAGTACAATTTTCTGCTTGTTAGTGCATGGCATTATGAACTTCTCTGTGACTTTACTCAGCTGCCTCTCAAGCTCTAGCAGTGTGTGATGATCATTCATTCTCTTTCCTATTTGTTGATTTTTTTATATTTTCCCCTTTGAAATGAAATCTTGCTACTTTTGCTACTCTTTTCCCCCACCACTGAACAGAAGAGGTGGAGAGAAGGGATAAAAGAGATGTGGGTTTATCCCAACGGAGTAGTAATAATAAATTCATGAAACATAAGAATTCATTGGTAATTTTGAGGGCAAGAAGAGCTTTCTGCTTGAAGGAAGGACTCCCTGAAAAGAGTATAGGTGGAAATATTCCAAACAGCGTTAGTAGCAACTATTAGTTCAATTTTTTTAGGAGACTGGTAAAGTGCCTAATAGCTCTCCACAGTGGAAGATGTTTCTGGATATTCATTATTTAAAAAGTTTTTTTCTTTAATTCAACACCATTTTTTTTTTTTTAGCTATGCGTTTTTGCACATCCTTAAGCAGGTCTTTTCCATTCTTTCTATTTACAAATTCTCCAAGACAACGTGACCCCATTTCATTGTTGCTAGCTTCAGCTTTCATCTGCATGTGTCCTGAAATTCCACATGCTCTGTACATTTATTGTACTTTGAGGTCATCTGCCGAGCCTTGGGCCTGTAATTTTTTCAAATAAATACTCACTTAAGCTTAAGTATGTGTCTTAGTGTTGGTAGACCAAGATTTTGGATAGCAAGCTTTTGGGCATGGATGCTATGTTTCTGTGTTTCAGCAATTAGTACACTAATCCTCTTGTAAGCTATGAGTGCTGCTTTGGCAGAAATAACGCGCTAATAGTAATGGGATCTGGATCTTTATGAGTACGTGTTGTGGACAGATTTTGTCTCATCATAGTTCAGCATATCGTGACACTTGTTCAAGAGTGTCTGAACCCGTTGGGCCCCTTGGGTCAGTTCAGCCAGCATACAGAGTTTAGAACAAAATCCAGATAACTGAGGTGCCACAGATGTGACTTTTGCATACAATATTATGAGTCGGACATAAATAAAGAGCGTGTAAGAGGGACCTTGGCATTCAAATCCCTGTGGACCATCAGCCTGTGAATGAACTGGGGAGAATCACTGACAGTTCCCCTGGTGCAGTGTGTAATCTGCACGTTGGAGTGGTTCTGTCTGTTTGTACTCTCGTCAGTGTCTGGGAGCGACAGTGTTTTCTGGGACTGTAAACACACCTCCCGTCACAACAGAGCCGTGAGTCTGGGGCAGGCTGGAGGTGCCAGAGTCATTGCCAGGTGGTGTCTGCCCAGTCATTTGTGCCTCACGCCTTTTGCTTTTTAATGGCTTCTCTTTCCGGCTTCCTCTTTTGTAACTTTGTGATAGTTCTTGAAGATTGCAGTCCAGTCCAGGTGGAAACAGCAATGGCACCTGGATGTGGTTGTATGTATTCTGAACCTGATGACTCCTGTACAGATGTGGAAGAGGACCTAGAAAGTGGGGAGTATGATGCCAGTGAAGGTGAGGTTGGCTGTTGAGCAGGGATGAAATCTGATTAATCTGAAGTCTTTTTATAGAAGTGCTTGCCCTTTGCCTTTCCTTGCTAGTCTATCAAACCCTATGCCTGCTCTTTTCTTTCCTAACTTGTATAAAATTGGGTGGTGACTAGCTGGCTTCTGCAGTCATGTGTAGTTAACCTGTATTACAGTAAAAAACTGCTTTGTTGGCAGCTGTAATGGTCCTAGGAAAAGAATCCAGGCCATGAAAAACTGGGTGCCAGTCAAGAAAACAGCCGTGGAAAGCAGGAGTCTAGCAAGTTTCCCTTTGCTTCCAGGTAGCGCAGGGGCTCCTGGGGAGGTGAATGTCCAGGACAGGCAGGGTGGGACTAACAGATGGAGGGCAGCTGAGCTGCAGCCTCCATCTCCGTGCTGTGCCCCGTTTGTCTCCCAAGCTCATCTCCCGGTGAGCAGTTGGCCTAATTGGCAGTGAGGAACTTTCAGCTTGGTCTTGGTTCCCTCCAAGAACGTTTCTGGTCCCTGCAGCCTGAGCCATTCATTGCTGGGAACGTGGTCTGCCTGACAGAAGAGCCTTGCGTGTCACCCAGGGGGTGTTCCAGCCAGCCATCCTGCCGCGGCCATCAGCCGTACTGGAAGGTCACCTTAAGCTTCCACTCCCCAGCAGCAGTGAGTCTGAAAAGCGAAGTAACCCACAGGTGAAAAATTACTTCAGTCTGCACTGCTGCTCTTCCATTTCCTTCTGCCATCCTCTAAGGCTCTAACAGCTGGCAGGAACAGGCCAACTCTACTGTTCTTAAATTGCAAGTTGCGCACGGTCTTGTACATTGACACATTGATCCAGGGTGTTGCAAGTTTGTTTTTCTGGTCAGCGGGGAGCCTTTTGACCTCCTTCCTCTATGTAGCCTAAGAGCACAGTCTTGTAAGGTGTGTTCTCTTTCATCTGGAGAGTGTATGCAGGAGGCTGGAGGTTCCTTCTTGTCTCTGGTCTGTCAGTAATTGTCTTTTTCCTCAGTAATTCTTCGTCAGGTGAAACTCGTTCTACCTCAGTCCCATCAGCTGACTGCAGACAACAGTCGATACCATTTAGTTTCAAAGCCTGGTGGTCTTCATGTGTTGGTCTTCACACGGATCTGTGTTTCTGATGCAGAGAGCAGGGTAGCGAAGATGTAGTTCCTGAGCAGCCCGACTTCTGTGGCAGTTGGCCCTCTGGACTGGGGTTGAAACATGTTTGCTTCCCGGGCAGGTGGTCTTTGGAAAGACCCGAATCTCCTAGTTGTTACCTTCTCAGGTTCCACGATGCCTCATTTGGAATACTTTAATGCTGAAACAACCTCACGGTTGCTGTTATCATTGTGCCCAAGGCAAGACCTCACTTTACAGAAGGGAATACATTGTAATCAACAGCAAGAGTAAATAAACTGCTGTTTCTGCTGACAAAGCAGGTAAACAGGTAGACTATGCCATGCACCACACAGCATTTTGTTTCAGGCAAAGTGAACAAAGCATCTATTTTACAGGGACCAGCAACATCCATTACATTAGACTCAGTCCAGTATAAGCAGCTGGACAGTTTGGACACTGTACTTTTGTGGAGACAGGAATATTTACTCTGAGCTGGGATGACAGTTTGGGATGTTTTCATTTTGTACCAAAACTTCCCTTAGAAATTTTTTAAATGATTTCATGTTACTGATTTTGGTAGTAGACCTGAGCTCTCCCAGATTCAGGAGGTAGGGTTTTCAGTGTGAGTGGTATAAAAATACGGTAGTGATTGATAACTGCCTTTATATATATATGTGTGTGTGTGTGTGTGTGTGTGTATATATATATAAAATATGTATAAAAGAAGAAAAAACTTAAAATATAAGGTACAGAAAGCTAGTAGTAAACATAAGCATCAATCCTAGTGCAAGATGCATCTTGGACGAAGGCATGATTTCTTGTATTGCAAAATGTAGAGTTTTTAATTGTAATTTTGAAGTGTGGTCCAGTGTTTAGTGGTGTGGGGTCTGGTGGGAGGAAGCAACCTGCTGAGCTCTCTCCTCTCCTTCCCCATCCTCCCTTCTCTCTGGAAACTCTCTTCCCAGCCTGTCCTGCCTGCTCCTGGTTCCTGCACTGTCTGCAGCCACCTGAGCTGCCTTGTGCACCTTCCACTTCCCTCTGCGGAGACCTGGGAGCGAGTCGGGCCCGGCTCTGAAGGGCAGGAAGGGAGGGGTGGGCGCGGGGAGCAGCGGGGCCAGGAGGAGGGTTGTGGCAAGCTGGACACGAGCTCCACTCGGCTGGCAGAGATGGGCTAGGCAAATAGCGTCCTCGAGGCCTGGAGTCTTCTCTGTCTGCTGTCCAGAAACAGGCTCTGGTTGCACAGTCGGTTGCGCCAGCAAGCAGCAGAAAGCAGTAACTGTGGGGTGCAGCAGTAGTGCAGGAGGGTAAAACAAGTCAAAAGGAGTGGGAGATGATTTGGGGCAAAACAGCCTTTGCACAGTTTGGGAAAGGTAGCTTGGGAAAGACATTGCTCTTGTTCCTTTTGGTGGCACAAAACTTCTCTTTTCTTAAAGAACTGGAACCTGCCGTGTTTGTACAGAACACTGGTGCAGCAGCACAGGCTGTCGGGGGGGGGGCTGCCTCGGGACAGACCCCATAGCACAGAATTCAGTGAGGGCATTGCCGTGAAATTCCCAGCAGGCAGGAATCGACCTTGTGTTATTCCCCTGATGTAATTACAGAATTCATGGGAAGCAATTACACAAAGAGCTAAGTATTCTTTTTTCTGTGTGTGCATATTTTATGTGAGCAATTTACCACCTATTAACATTTGAACATTACTGTCAAGCTTATAGCTACTTCGTAGACACACCTGGGCTCCCTGATAGGCAGGTGAGAGAAGGAGGGAGAGTACAGAGGGCAGGCAGAGCTGACAGAGTTGAAAGATGGTTGTGCATTGGCATTTTGGCTTAAATTGGTTATGCCAGATGCCTGAACAGCAGCACTAGAAACGTAGTCAGAGCAAAGGCGCATGATGAGAAGCAGCACAGCAAGCTGTCATCTTGTCGCCATGCCGATGTCCCCTCATTGCTTGAGAGAGATAGCATCTTTAATAATAGCGCTGTAAACAGCCTTAACACTAACACAATTCTCAGTAAAACTATTGTTTTGTTTATATTTAATAGCACCAGACGCAACTTTTGTGGCAGAAGGAAGAAGAACACTTGATGTGGAGGAAGCAGCAGAAAAAGTGGGACGAGAAAGGACGATGCTAGGGGAGACAAAAACAATTGAGGAGGCACATTTTGTTGAAGAGGAAGAAATATTCACCAAAGAGGAAGGAGAAGAAGTGGAACTGTTGGGACACTTGCTGCCCGAGGAAGAAGCAGTGGCTCTGCTGCAGGCAGAGGGTCAGCCTGTGGTAGAGGAATCTGCACCCGAAGAGAGTGCCATGGCAGAGGGAGATCCCAAAGGACAGGGGATAGGGAAAAGAAGGGACCTTGGCATTGAGATGACACCTGGGGAACAGGGAGATGTGGTGGAGGGGATGGAGAGCGAGGCAGACCTTGAGGCGCAGGGAACTGGGGAAGAGGAGCTGCCAGGAGCAGGGGAATTGCTTGACGAGGAGGAAAGAAGAATGCAGCCCGGGGGATGGGGTGGGGCTGAAGAACCATCTGACAGTAATGAGGAGGAATCAGAAAAAGAGGACTCTGATGGAGAGGACGACATGGAGGAGGGAGGACTTGAAGGGGAAGATATGCTTGGTGCTCTGTCTGAGGGAGAGGAGGATGAGGGAGAATTTGAATGGATAAATGTGGCGAGTCCTTTTTGTGAAGAAGAGGACGACATGGAGGAGGGAGGATTTTTAGGGAAATATGTTGTTTCTCTGTCTGAGGGGGAGGAGGACCTGGAGAAGATCTGTTTTGCATGGTAGGACGATGCGGGGGTGGCCAGAGCAGAGTTAGG